CCGGGGAGCAGGCGGGTAAGCCGGTCTCCCGCTCGGGTCCCGGACCCGTGTTCCGCCTTCCGGGTGTCCTGGCCCGGCCCGCGTCCCCGCCGGCCGGCTCCCTGCGCCCCTCGTGCCCTTCCCTCCCGCCCGTCCCCGTCCCGGCCTGTGTGCTGTCTGAGCCCCGGAGGGCGCCCTGGAGGAGGAGTCGGGGCGTGCCCGCTGTCCCGGTCCCAGCCCGGGGCCTGCACCTTAGCGCGCTCAGCACGTGTGGATGGAGGTGCCTTCCCATCGTCTCAGCTGATCTGTAACCGCTCTCTTTTTGTCATCGTTTAGATGACAAACCCCCCGCCCGCCGTTGTTCCCAGCGTGTAAGTTTCAGGTCTCCAAGGGTACCTTCGATTTGGTCCAAAAAAGGGAAAGAAAAGCACATTTTCATTTCTTACGATTTCCCCCTGTCAAGCTACTGTAACTCACCCTTTTTGTCGCTAGCAAAGGAACTAGGGAGTTGAGGAGAGAGACAGAGACAGAGAGAGGACAGTGAGAAATAAGACATCAAGATAAGGTTATAATTTTTCTTTTTGTTTATGGCGATTTTTGGTATCGGGTGCATCTACTCCCCATAAAGACAGAAAGACAGAAAGAAATCGAGAAATTACCCTCCAGGGGGGATGGCCGGACTGCAATCCCTTCTCCTCCATGCTCCTATTGTAATTTTGGGCATAGTGTGAGTTTACTCTGCAGGCTGGGGGACTCGAACTCTGGGCTTCTAGGTGGGGAGTCCAGTGACGTAACCACTACGCCATCTGCTGGTCCTGAGGAGGTTATCTAGAAACGGACTCCATGGGAAATGTGCTTGGATTCTCCCACTTAGAAAAACAACACCTGTTTCGGGACCAGCAGTTAGCGTTAATGGCTATGTCGCTGGACTCTCGCGCGGTTCGAGTCCCAGACCCAGTGGCTCAAACTCATGCCAGGCGCCTGTGCGTGCGTGCCCAAGATCCCGAGAGGAGAATGGAGGAGAAGGGATTGTGGTGTGGCCATCCCCCCTGGGGGGTTGATTTCTCGCTTTCTGTCTCTCTGTCTCACTTTCTGTCTTTCTGGCGAGCGCATGCGCCCTATAGCAAAAACCTCTCAAAAAAAAAATGAAGGAAAACCACCACCAGTTTTATTGTTACCTTGCTACAGGGCACGTCTTAACTGCTTCAGCACCAGGACAGCGGCAGAGCAGAAATGCCAATGAATGATGCTCTTTTTACAACAGTAAAACAAATGGTGTTTTTGTCATCACACTTTCCATCACAGTTTTTCCGTCATCACAGTTTTCCCAGAGGACACATGTGCTGGTTGAAAAGAGACAGGGAAAGGGGGGAAGCCCTGCCCAGGGTGGTGGCCATGCTGGGTCCCCTCTCTGCTCTCCTCTTGGGATTTTGGCCAGGCTGATACACGTGCCTGGCGTGTTTTTCAAGAGACCAGGTCTGGAACTGGAACTGGAGCTGTTGGCCAACTACCAGGCTATGGGCCGGCCCTCACTCTTCTTAAGATGTTCTATTTATATGAATTTATTGGCTTACTTCAATTTTGGATTTTGTGGGATTTGGGGTACTCACTGTCTTGCGCCTGGCATGTTTTTCAAACGGCCGGGTCCGAAGATCGGAAATGTAGTTGACCACGTGGACTCCAGCTTCCTTGGCCGTCACGCCGCGGGCTGGCCCTCAGTTTCCATGTTGAAATTGATACACAGTGTCCCTAAGCCATCGTGGGTGACTTAACTGCTGGGGATGACATGAGTTAGTGTTGGTTGTTGTTGCCGTACAGTGAGTGTGCTTGCTGGGAAGAGAACAAGACAAGAAAAGTGAGAAATCACCCCCCACCCCCAAGGGGAGTGGCCACGCCTCAGTCCCTTCTCCTCCCGTCTCTGGGATTTTGGGCACACGCACACGCGCACCAAGCGTGATTCTCAAGCCGCCGGGTCTGGGGTCTGAACCGCGGTTGGCCGTGAGGGAGTCCAGGCACCTCCGCCATGACACCACCTGCTGACCTCAGGGCTGCTTTTTCTTTCTTTGGAGAGGTTTTCGCTGTAGGGCACGTGCGCTTGCCAGAAAGACAGAGAGAGACAGAAAGACAGAAAGCGAGAAATCACCCCCCAGGGGGGATGGCCACACCACAATCCCTTCTCCTCCATTCTCCTCTCCAGATCTTGGGCACGCATGCGCGCGCGCCTGGCGTGAGTTTTAAGCCACCGGGTCCGGGACTCGAACCGCGGTTGACTACATGGGGGTGCAGCGACATAGCCATTATGCTAACTGCTGGTCCCAATGCTGTTTTTTTATACACTTTTCTTTGTGGGGTAGGGAGAGTCAGAAATTTGATGTGAAAGACCAGTACATAAGATCAGGCTCTTGTTTATAAGTTCATGTATTCACCGCAGTTTATCTTGATACTGGTTATAGGCAAAATCAAGACTTTGGCCAGTGTCTGTTTTTGTTTTATAAATAATGGCAAAAATAAAATTTCCTGGTTAATTAGACTTTTGAGGCAATCTTATGTAC